ATTTCCCGTGTTTGTTTCCAGCTTTGATCTGCTAGGATGGTGTCTAGAAAAATGTAAATGGGAAATGAAATATATGGGTAAAAAAACATGTGCCGGAGCATGATTAGGGAAGCCTTTGACTTTCTCCACCTTCCTAATTAGTATACTTAATTTAGGAAGTCCTGGGGACACTGGGCAGATTTCTGAGCAGAATGATTGTTCAGACCTCTGGTTTAGGAGGATTAACTTTTGGATTGGGGGTCTGTGAGAGAGGGCAGGGGAGACCAGTTAGGAGTTTACTGCAGTTGTTTTTTACATTCTTCAAATGCATTCTATTTATTCAATTTCCTGTTTCTCCCTGCCACCCACCATTTGGCCACGAGCCAGGCCTTTAGTAAGCATTTGGTACTGCTTGCTGAAGTGAAAGCCATAAATTCCCTTCAAGGCTCCCCTTGTAATGTCCCTATTCCTCGACAGGTGGCACCATGACAGCATTATTTACAGAGCAAGCTTCCTTCTATAAGCACAGTGCTTCCAAGCAAAAGGCTGTTTTTCTAAGGGAATTCACTTTCTGAGGACAATCTGAGGGGTGGTAGCTGGCATAAAAGATTCAAGAACATGCCTTTTGTACTTGCACATCGTTTCTTCCTGTAGCAGGGATCCTGGCTGAATTTCTGAGCATGCAGATGAAGAAAGATGCTTATGAAAACTGGCCTTTTCAAAGATACAAGCAACCTTATGTCTTATGAGAAGTATAGACTTCACATTTATTTGGGAAAGAACTATTCCTTAGTTCTGGGACAACATTATACATATCTTTTTAAATACGTATCAAGCAGAGGCCACAACCTGTGGTGATACTGAGGTTATATAAAACTTCATGTTCGTGTTGGAAAGCAGTTTGCAGCTCTTAGGGAAAAGAAAACCTAATTTCTCTAAGAGCAGATTTTAGTTGTACCAGGCTAAATGTGTATCTTAGCTAACACTGAGAGAGACCCGAAACTGGTGAGAGATGGGAGTGCCAGAAACTGAAAGAGTTGTGATGAGTTAAGGGTAGCACTATGTTGGGTCCGAATATGAAACACAGCATGAAGCCACGGAGAGGGCTATTTCCTCACCTCTACTACATCAGCAGTGCTCCAGCCAACTTCAAGTACTAGCAGACTTGTAAGGAATGGGAGACAGGATTTTTAGCCCATAATGGCTGTTAATGTAATTTGAATTTATTGAAAAGGTGCTGAATAGTAAGATTTACATGAAGATTTTAATTCAATGTGGACAGTACTGTGGCGGCAAGGGTGCTAGGAGCATCAGCTTCACACAGGGTCATTTCTTCTTTGGTATTTTTCAAGTCTAAAAGTGTCATTACCTTTTATCTCAGTGATTCTTTTTTAATTTTTACTTTTTAGGAATAGAAACAATGGACCTTCTCTCTAGAGAATATATAGACTTACATGATTTTGCATTCAATTTTAGCTCCTTAGAGTTCAGTAGTGACCCCTCCTTATGTGTCCATCCCCGCTTAGGAATCCAGCTGAAACTCATCTATGAAGGGCATTACAGGAGGAAAGTGGGGCATAGGGAAGATGGAGGATTTAGTAGACCAACCTGTGCTACATCCCTATGAGATGTTGGTGCAGGTGACTGCAGAAGGTGGAAGAATTGCTTTTTTGCTGGGGAAATTTGTATCTAGTTAGTCTAGACTTGGAAGACTAACTAGAGAACTTCTAGAGGTTCTGTGGCGAAAGTCTGAGGACACAGTGGACACAGGAAAGGAAACTGAAATGGAGAAAAGGATTAAAGGACTCAAAGAACTTTCTACAGAGGCTAAAGGGCTAAACTACCCTTGGAAATCATGTCAGTCTGGAAGAATCTGCATTACAGGGAAAGGAAAAGAAGCACAAGAATGCAGCTGTGTCAGGATATGCTGGGAAGTATCTGCTTCTTTCTCTTGAGGAGCAGATTCAGAAAGCCATCTTCTTGGTGCTATTATTGTACCCACTGGACTCTGGGAAGGATCACTAAACAAAATCTGAACTGCATTTGTTTTGTTCCAACTGAGAAATTGAAAAGTGACTAAAACTAAGGTTATTTCCTGTTCAGGATTCTTTTAGGCTCTTGATTGGGGAAATAAAGGGCCTTCTCTGTAGATCCAAATAAGAGAGCAATTAGCAGAGTGGTTCCCATCTAGAGATCTTTTAAGTCAGACAAACCTAGGTTCAAGTCCCAGCTCTGCTGAGCACTAGCCTGTGACCTTGAGCAAGATTTTGGAGTCTGTTTCTGAACTGTTATGAGAAATAATAATATTACCTATTTCATAAGATTTTTGGGAGATAAAATTGGGCACAGTGTCTGGCATATATAATAAGTGCTCAATAAATGACAGCTATCATTGTTCTTAGTGCTGAAGGCTAGAACTATAATAGGAACCTACCTCTCAGTCTTCAGGGACACTTCCTTGCTTATATCCTTCAGCTGCTCCCTTTAGGGTTCCCAGCACACATTCTTCACCCACTGTAAAACTCAAGTCTTCCTATGTGTACAGGACTGGCTGGTCTCCAAAAACTTTTTGGCCCATAGCTACATGACTATTCCCCTTTCCTTAATTCTATCTAACTCTAAAGAATTCGAATTCTTTAGATGAAGTCAGACTTAGATAAATTAGATGACTTGAATTAGGCTACCTAGATAGAATATCTAATTCTAAAGAATAAGGCTCTTTATATAGGGATGATTATTTTAAAAACAGAGTTTCTAGAACCTTCCCTGGGTAGTTTTCTTTTCCCAAAAGAGCCAGTCGCCACTACCCACTATCCCAATAGAACTATAAGGAAACTCATAATTGCACAAGACTTTCTAGAGTCTTATATATTTTTCTCCTCAACAACTTTTTATCCCCATTTTACACATCCAGGTCTCAAGCAGTGATTTAGTGCTGGAACTGAGATTCAAGCCCAGATCTGTGCCTGTACCTTCAGTGCTTTTTCTACCACTCTGAAGCAAGGAGCAGAAAGCACAGGCGCACGCGCGTGCACACACACACACACACACACCATCCCAGCTCATTCTGTTCTCTAATTTCCTTCAGGGGCAACCTCAGGAAATCTCCATTACCCAAGGGAGTGGACTAGAGCAGTGTTAGAATAAGCCCTTTGGGGGAACACCTTACTGGCACTCTCCACTAGAGGCCTGAGGCCGTTCATTATTGTGATTTCCTTTGTGATGTGTCACTCTACTCCCTGAGATCCCCGGCAATCCCTCTAGAACAAACCCCCCCACCCTACTCCTTCCATGGAACAGGTGTCATACTTGTTCTGGGTCATTCTAGGACCCAGATTTGGAAATCATCTCCCAGGGGCGGATGCTTCACTGAAAAACAGTCTCTTGCACATTTAGAGTTCTGGCTACTAAAAACCCATTGTTAGCTTGGGAGTCTCAACACTTGCCCCTCTTTCCCCAATCTCCAGCTTGAGGTCAAGGTTAAGAACAGAGGGAAAGCAAGTAGAGTTGGCAATGCCTGTCCCAAGCAAAGCAGGGACAGTCAACTCCTTGGACCTGAAAGCACAGAGCCTGGAGGGAAGGCATGGTCCCTGCTGGTCCCACTAAGTCCTGGTCCATGCAGTGGGCCCAGAAGTCCCACCCTGACATCCTTCTAGTACCAGTCAGCAAGGAGGGGAGATGACGCCTTTTTATTAAAGTTACCACCAAGGAAAGCATTGAAAAGGAATACACAAAGGAGGAGGAAGGGCACACAAAGTCACCACTTGAGGAGGTGGGAGGGAGGCACATCAGTAAAGGAATCTCAGGACAGCCACATGCTCCATGCCCTGGTTGGGGTGGGGTAGGGGTGGGGAGAAGCGCCATGATAGCTTGGGGCTCACAGAAGGGTCTGAAGCCTCCTGAACCTAACACCAGAGCCACAAGCCCTGCCCCTCAGGGCTCACACGCTACTACACAAGTAGACACACATAACACACACAAGACATTATGGAGGCAACACCGAGAGGCAGCGGGCAGGGATATATTGACAGAAAAAGGAACTGAAGTTAAGCAGGTATAGCCAGGAGAGACAGTTTTTGGCTGCAACCCCCAAGAGTCCCTCAAATGTCCCCTAAATCTGGGCTGCTGCTGAGCACCCCCAAGTCTCTGCCTGTGAACTGGCCTCTTTGTTCTCTAAGCCCCAGTGAGTGGAACAGCAATCTCAGATGAAGTCAGTGACAAGGCAGGATCCGCTCTGCATGCAAAATCCTAGAGGCTGAGCTATTAGTCTTCATGCACATTCACAGCCAGCTCCTCCCAGCCCAGGGGCCCTTGGAACTCCATTCACCCAGATTCCTAGGGCCGCAGTTCCCTCCTCAAGCTTCCTTTACCAATCAGCAGCTGCAGAGATGTGAGGGGGAGAGGCTTCTGCAGAGCACAGAGTATCTTGGATTTCAGCAGAAGGGTAAATTTCCTGTTGCCAGAACAGAATACCCCAATTCCTTAATTTCTAGGTAAATCGTTAAGAGATTATTTGCCATAGTCCTACATAAGTCCTTTTTCAGAATAGAAAAAGCAGAATTTTATTTACACAATTAAGGGAGTCTCCTGTTGCCTGGGGAGGGGGAAAGGGCAGGGTAGGGGACTATGGGAGTCCAGAGATGAGCGCTTCCTCTCCCGGAACCTCACCTTTCCGCAGTTTGCTATGATTCGCTTGGTTGGGCAGAAAGGATTCTTGATGCTCCCAAAGTCCTTCACCCTACAAATCCTTCCTGGAGGGAGTCTCTCTCTGCCTGACCCACAAGAGCAGCTGTCTAAGTTAAGCATGCTGCACCGCGCCTTTCAGTCCCCTCGCGTCACGCACTCGGAAACCCAAAGCCAGCCCAGGAAGGTAGTGTCCCTGCGGAGTGCCCTCACAGGGAGGCATCGCCCTCCAGCTGCAGTAGAGTAATGTCAGGCAGGTCGAGGGGCTCCACAAGTGGCCCGTCCCCCACAAGGAGATCAGCACAGGGGCTCTGGGGGCGCTCACAGTGACTGGTGGGTGTGGCGGGGCTGGGCATCTCTTTCTCTTCTTCCTCGTCCTCCGGATCGCGACCCAGTAAGCCGTTGTCCCCGATTCCAGGCGTGGGGGTCTCCAGCTTTGGGGGGGAACCTGGGAAGCTCCCTTTGCCGCCGACCACACCCAAGCCGCCTTGGCGGGGCGCCGTGGTCATAATCTGGCACATGGAGACGATGGCTCTCTGGTTGGCGCACACGTCGTCCGAGAGCACCTGGATGTGCGAGGCCTGCTCGTCCAGGGCCCCCCGCATGGCCCTCACGTCCTCAAACAGGGCCTGCAGCTGGGCCTTCAGGTGCTCCATCAGTTCCTTCATGCCGCCGTTGTACTCCCCGGAGATCACGTCCCCCACGGCCGGCACGGTGGACACCTCCAGAGGAGTCGGCATGTCGCCGCCGTCCTTGGTCATGATTTCCAGCAGACCGTCCTCCATTGAATGGCAGAAGCGGGTGGTGGCGG